CATTGACCAGAATACTTTAGGAGTTGAGGTGATCGGCTTATAGAGCAGACTGTATCTAGTTGAGAATAAGTATGGGTGTTTAGCAGGTCGGAGGCGCCATGCAATACACTTGAGATCGATCCTTGACTCTCAAGCTCATCAAGCCTTCCATTCCTCAAGGGTCGGCGAATTGGTACCAGACTTGACAAGTCTGGAAGGATAGCAGCACTGGTTTGATTCATCAATAGGCCACCGTGAGATTCTATAGGCCAGATATGCACATGTATAAGATATGCAGATATTCAGTCACCTTCAACGACGGTTAATGAAGTAGAATGCGTGGCGCATTCCTGAAGGATTGATCAACACCAACAGCTTTATCTTTAGCTTTATTAAGGTTTGTAGATTCTAATAGCTTTTGCTTCAATTATCAAGTTCACCTTGAGCTAATATAAGTTGCTTTAATGTTGAAAGTGACTGTTTTCTGTTTCGCCATCCGTTTCTCGACATGCTCTTGTTCCGTAACGAAATAACATGATTTCAAGTAAGATTCGTCGTTCGAGCGGTGCTGCACTTCGCTCGATTGGAATCAATGTGACAATGAAGATCCATGTCGTCAAAGCAAAGGACGGTGGACCATCGACTCGAAACAATCCGGCTCTGAATAAGCCAAAGACGTCGAAATCTCAGCCGACTGAACTTTTTCTACCAAGCTCGTGTTAGCTCAGTAATCCATGAAAAAAATGGCGAGATTTTCTTCTTGGAGCGTTATTTTTCTTTTTTTAAAAAGAATCAATGGTCAGAATCGGACACAGTTTAACTATGGTATTGTGCAGCTTCCAAGTAGATGGATTTTTAATGTTTTTTCTTAATAAAGGAAAAATAAGAAAGATGGCAGAACTTTGTCAACGTTTCGTCAACGGATTAGCGGAAAAGTGAACTTTTTGCCAAATCCCGGCCATTTCTCGATAACACGATCACTTAAGGACTTAAGAGCTTGGTAGACTTGTAGAAGGACTTTACTGCAACACTTAAGGTAATTATGGTTTTTCAAAATCTTTGATTCTTTTGTTTTCTCTTTAGAGGTGAGATGTTAACTTACTTGATACTTGATACTTGAATGGGCCGTCCTCACTGGTTGTGCGGGCCCTAGCATAATCTCCATTTTTCGCAAATTTGCTGGTTAAGCCATTATGGTTCTCTGGAGTCCCGCGGTCAGCCTGGCCAAAGTCTTCCCCAGGTCTTCACCACGACAGGCATTCGCAGCCCTTGTGGATCAGAGGGAGATTTACCACCATGCGACTTTGATACTAACGGTGGTGGATCCTAGTACTGAAATGTAAAAGTCTTAGAAAAGTCAAAATTTTGGAGTTTTTAACGAAGTCGTGCCAACGATATCATTAATGGTGCCTTGAAAAACGTACTTGAGTCGTTCTGGGTGAAATATCGTTTATTCAAGCACTCCACTTCCGGAAATACGTGCTTCGACATGAAAAACGAGAACGAAAAATATATGGGCTCTAGAAAAGCAGAATCTTGCCGTGGTGTAGTCAGAAAACCCTTGTCTTGCTAGCAAAGCTCCGTAAATTCGAATGTTTTTTAGATCACTTGATAAAATTCAGTAGGCTTAGACATGTTTGTTTGAAGCAGAAAGGTCATTTTAACACTCTGAGATGCATACGAATTGAAGCCAACACGTAGTGCTGAAAATTTGTTGATTGATAAGTACGTTTTTTGAGAGAAAAAAGGCACCCATATTGCAGAAATATATGAAAAACATATATTCTAAGTGCTGTGGATGAAATTCAACTGGCAGAACGAGCTTAATTCCAGAAAACGTTTATTTTTCCAATAACGTACATATTGTCAAATGAGTCAAAATAGAAATGTTACAGCGGTTAGAGGTTTTCTCTAATAAACACATGGTCGTTTGTTCGATCCCTCAGCCTGAGTGAACTAAACCCTTCATCCCTGCGTATCGGCAGATTAGTAGGAGACTTGTCTGCGAGGATAAAACGTTGAGCTGACATATCGCTAAGCATTCAGAAGTTGTTGCACAAACTAAATATACGTTCAACCAACTCTGCCACGTTTAACGGCGTCGAGTGCACAGAGCATTTATAGACAATTAATCAACTTTGGGCGTTTTAGTCTTTATATTTTAGTTTATCACCTCTAATTCTAGGGCGTGTGTGGCGCAGTGGTTGAAGGAGCCACTGCGACACACACGTGGAATCGATTCCCGCGCCCATAGCCCACCAAGCCTTCCATCCCTTCGGAGTCGGCAAATTGGTACTAGATTTGTCTGGGAGGATAGCAACAGTGGCTCGATAAATCTGTAGGCCACAGGTCATTTGTAATGTAAATTGTAAAGGCCAGATATGCATTCAATAACCTCCAACGATACCTAATGAAGTCGAATGCATGGCGCACCCCTCAGTGATTGATCAACGCCGAGAGCTTTATCCTTTTTTTAATCACCTCTAGTTTTACTTAACAGCGAAAAATGGAAGATTTGCTGGCAACCACTCGAGTCATTCGGCTATCAACGTGCGAGTGTTGAGACAGGTGAGGTTCCACTAGTCACCAAGTATCTCACAAACGGAGCGGCAATAAATCCTCAACTCGTCGCCAAAGCATTCCACTGGGTTTCACACGTTCACAAACATGGAGCTTCACATTTCTAGTATAGCACTACCTATTCTACCATATGCACTTGGAACTGTGAAGCTTGGGCAGTTCTGCCAGGAAGTGAGTGTTTCCACTGTAAATTGCAATCTAAACCTAAGAACAGAACACAGGAATTCCACGATGAGGCGATAAACCATTAAGGACGTACACAACGTTAAAGAATAAAAGAAAAAGCGTTTGGCGTTGGTCAGTCCCGAGGAGTACGCCGTGCATTCGAGTCCATTCTTAGCATTGTGGAGGTGCCTGAATTCATATCTGTAACTTGCGATGGCTACCGATGTATCGGATTAGTGCTTTTATCCTCCCAAAGTGGTCTGCTATGATTTTCCAACTTCGGAATGATGGAGGGCCTAGTGCGTCAGGTGGGGTTGGACGATCTAACATAGATTGCAAAGCACTTTTAACTACTGTGCTACACGCATTCTTCACATAATATTACTCATATAAAATGAGAGCGAATTGCAATAACGGCACTATTATGTGGTAAGACTGTCGGCATCTTTTGAGATTTAAGTGAAACATCAAGTGAAAAAGAACAAATAACTTTGAACGTCTAAGTGAAAGGGAAATGAAAAAATAGACTTACTGGTTATCATCGACTTTGTCATGCTCACAGATGACTGTTTGGAAATGTGGAATTCCTCGTTTTTGAAGGCGTTGTTGGTTATTGGTTACCAGCAATTGGTTACCGTTTCTGAGAAATTGACAAGGATTTGCACTGAAAACAAAGAAAGGTTGAAACAGAAACAAATTTCATCTCGTAATCGCAACGATAGAAAGAAACTTCGCCTATCTTTCTTTGAGTAGTGGTTGGACTCGTCTTCACACAACGTGGGTCTGCGACGAATCTTTTCCCTAGTTTCGTTGTCGTGCAGTCGGCGTACGTGAAAGTCTTGGTTATCGTGTGTGGTAAGTTCAAGTACACTTTGAGGATATGTCGTCTTCATTCCACTACGAAAGTTAGGCGGGCATGGTATTCCTTCGTTTCCCGACGTGACCTGGCTAGTGAGTTCCGAGATCTCCATCAATGACATTCGTATGTCTTTGGGGATCGGAGATAGAACTAACTACTGCCATAGAACTAGGAATGAACAGCGTGGCAGCAGTGATTGCTTCGACAAGTTCAATGATTAGTTGACGATGACTAAGAGCGTGAACTCAGGGAAAAATGTGTGTAAATTTATGGCTGTTTGTATTGATCTTTACAGAATGACAATATTGCAAAGGAGTCGAGCTTGTCAGAACTATGGATCTCCTGAATGCCGGTGGAATTGTTGGTACAGAACCAGCATCGTTATTTGAATGGAAATTCACTAACTCGTTCAGCGTTCTGTCAACGAAACAGACTTTTACTGCTTGGAATTTGGTTCCAGTCGTTCAGAGCTGTTTTTCCCAGCTCATATACCAACCATTTGCTGTTATCGTAAAGAGAATTATTAGAAGAATTTGTTCGCGCTTAGCGTTCATGTGTTTTCATACGATGTAAAATGGATTGCTAAAGATTTTCGGAACAACGTCGATTACACGCTCTTAATTAACTCGATATATATAAGCCTTCGACGACGGAGAGCGAGATATGCTTTCGCTACCGAATGCTCGCTGAGAAGAACTTCGTGGCTGTTGCCTCCTTGTGCTCCTTACTGGCCATCAGCGCTTGTATAGTTGTGTTCCTCTCATTGTACAGAGAAATCAACGATGTCCACAATATGGTAAGAATCTTTCTGCTAAATTCTGTGATGCAACGTAATTGTGTTATTCAAGTGTTAACCTTCCATATTGATTCCACGAAGTGAAAAGATTATGGTTTGGACTGCAGCCTCAGTTTAATTACGTCCAATGGCGATTTGTTCTCCTTAAGCTCATTCTTGTTAACGGGTAATTGCTGGTAGCACCAAGTGAGTAAAAACCTAGCTCTGAGAAGGGCAAAGCAAGTGCCTCGGTTGGCGTGCTGAATAGCATGTGAGGCTGCGATAAGGGTAGTCGAGAGTTCGAGGGTTCGAATTCTACCTGAGGTTCCAAATTCTAACCATATCTCAGCATCATTGTGATTATAATTTCAGGCGAAGGGAAAGATTCGCATGGTGTAGTGATGAACGAGTTAGTCCCCGGAAAGGGTAGTAGCGCGTTCGTTCTCCACCAGAGACACCTGCGGTCCGGAGTTTTGCAAAGATCTCAGCACCATTGAAGTTATATTGTGATCATATCTCATATTGTACCATTCCGTGAAAGAGAAAAGTAGACAGTGAATAGAAAGTCAGAACTTCACGTTGTATTCTGAACTGATCATGAAGCCCTATTTGTCTTGTTACTTCTGTGATTCTGCTATTTAGGTGATCGACTCAGTGGGTGTGTTTCGCGTTGAGACTGATTCCTCATGGAGCAACTTAATTGATATTCAGTTGGCTTTTGTACCACCGTCACAAGCTCGTCTGAATCCTTTCACTTCAATATTCCGCCAGAAGAGACAACAGCTTCGATTACCGTCGTGGTGTCACTGCGAACCGTTGCGTATCACTTGTCTGCCAGGACCACCTGGTCCACCCGGGCTACCTGGACAGCCTGGTAAGCTACCAGTACTGATGTGATTAACTAGGTAGGCAGAAAAATGTGCATTTTAGGAAGCCCCGGTCCTCCGGGTATACCTGGAAAAGATGACTTAACCGTATATGCCCCTGTTCGATGTCCGGCTCCCGAGCGTGCTTGTATTAGATGCCCACCAGGACCACAAGGACCACCAGGATTGGATGGAATGCCAGGACAGCGCGGGTTGGATGGTAGACCAGGACTGCCAGGTAATCGTGGATCAAACGGTAAACCAGGTCTTCAAGGACTTCCTGGAGAACCAGGACCAGCTGGAAATCGTGGAATGGATGGACGACCTGGCCAGCCTGGTATAAGTGGAAGAAAAGGTTCTGGAGCGCCAGGGATGCCTGGACATCTAGGAGCACGTGGAGAGCCAGGGAAAATTGGTAGTCGTGGAAAAGATGGTGAACCTGGACCTCCAGGTCGTACTGGAGCACCCGGACATCCAGGAACACCTGGAAACAAAGGAATCGATGGACAGCCTGGATCGAAAGGATTACCTGGACGACCTGGAAAGGATTCGCACTACTGTCCGTGTCCACGTCGTAGCGGGATATTTATTCATAAGAAGGCTGTAACTTGAACACGTAAGCAATGTGTTAAATTTGCTCGAATTTCACTGTATGGTGCAACTTCATGTCTCAACGGAGAACTTTCTCAACCGTATTCTCTGATGAATGGAACAAATATCGAAAGAGTAGGATAGTAAACTTAACGTAAATTTGTGTAGAACATAAACAGATAAATATTATAATTTAATGTAATCGTCGAAATTCTGGGCTGTTACAGAGAACTTCAACTGGATAGAAATGAGGCTTTACTGTTACTGAAAGTTTTGAAGTATTAGGTAGTTGCATAAGTCTAAAGCATGTTTGTTCAAAACTTTGTTAACCATTCTGACCCATACGAGCCATATATGACTCATGTGTAGTAGAGAGTGATTTAGCGTCCACAGTTTTTCCACTTAAACCGATATATCTCAACTCGTAGTAGCATTAACTAACACATAAATATCTGCATGCATAGATTTCAATCCATATTCTTTCCAACTGTTCATTTTTCGCGAAGAGTTCGATTGATATGCTTTTTATACTTAATATTTAGCATCCAGTCCTCATCGAATACAGGTGTTATGGTGGACGTGACAAATGGATTTATCTCATACACTTAATACTTTGAAAAAAAATTCCTCTCGAACGATTTCACTGATGAAAAACGCAGTGAGAAAAAATTTCGGCGTAGTCCCAACCGATCGTCGTACAATGTTAGGCCTAATCACCTACCTTTTAACCCATAACACCTCGGCGCCGTTTTGCACAGCTGGTCCAATTGAATACGAGCAGTTTTTCGTCGGATGCGGACTTTCCGATTCCTTTACAATAAAAAATATTTTTTCAATAACTAGAGAGCTTCAGTAGTTCTGAGCATAGGAGAATTGTAGAACAGACTTTGCTCTATTGTTCGGTAGGCATGAATGATATGAATCGTTCACGAGCTGTAAAGTCCGGGAGGGCAGGGCTCATCGACGTCCACGAATGCATCATTGATGCTTGTAGTGGTATTCTTCAGGTTAAATGAATTTATAAGCTTAGATCTCACATTCTATAAGGGGCGTATAGCGCAGTGGTCAGAGGTAGCCTCAGGTGTACACATTGTTATTAGCTCAAGCCCTCATCTCGGACTGACGAAGCTTCCTATCCTACTAGGTTGAGCCAGTTGGTAGCAGACTTGTACGTGAAATCCTCTCCTATGCACAAAAGCCAATAATGACTACCTGTGCTAAAGACCTATGAACGATCTAGCACGGTTATTCCAGGATTCAAGGTAGAATCTACTCGAGCGGTACTCAGTGAGATTCAATAAGAAGAAAAGGTCGTAATATTGACCCCCAAACCACACGCAAATTCCGAGGATTTTCTGGAAGGCCGATGCAACGCAATGAGTTAAATGAAAGGGATCTGCACAATATACAAAACCAGACCATGAAAACAATTTAAAAATCGCTATTGATAGATTCCAAACGAAATCGTGCTAGTTTCACCTGTAATTCATCTAATAAGGCAATTTACATGAATACCAGTAAAGTATTCATTGTTGTCCTTCAACGAAATCACCAATGAGCTCCACTCATTCGAGGGTCAAGAAGTGTGTGATATTTTCACCTAAAATTGTTCTAATTTCATTGTCTTTTAAGAATGTCTACCTCTCCAGTACTCAGCGAACTCTGCCGTGCACAATTACTGGTTGTTTGTTAGATTCTTCTAAAGTAAATGTGGGGCTTACGTGTTGATTGCAAACCCGAACCACCTCTCATTCACCTCCCGATCACTTTCTTGTAGGATTGTGGCAGAATCGACGTCCAGGACGCAAACCTTGTAAATACGAGTACATCCATACATGAGAAAGCAACAAGGAAAGGGCCGGGTGTCCTCTGAACTCTAAGCATAACAGCGAAAACGAGTTTGTTAGTTTAGGTTGGCGTTCAAACCGCTTATTCATCATCAGCAAATCCCATATGAGGAAGATTTGTTGATGATTACCAGATAAACGGTCTTATTGCAAAAGAAGAGGAGTTATTAGACTCACACTAAGGTATAGAATGTCGCGTAATTTTACTCTTCGTACCTCCTGTCTAATCTACATATATGCTTTTCTTCCTAGGTTTTTATGCCTGAACAAGATTATTAAAAGGAAATTACGGCACATTGTGGCAGAAAAATTGACCCCTTGGTCTCGTTCGTAATTGTCATTAGGATATCAAAAGAGAGATAGAGAGAAAAAGCAATTACAACATACGAGTTCCTTTACTACAGTTACAATGAGATATTGCTGTTTTTTCTAAGGTCATGGTCTAAGGTTTCTAAGGTTTCTAAGCTGGACTAAGCACTACATGGAATAGATGGAAACAGATGAGGCATCAAGGTGTGGCAATACCGTTTTCATCGATGTCACTAAGTGAAAATCGTGTCATCCACATTACAAAAGCTGCTGGTTACCATTATGTAATACTATCCCTTCCGATGAGAGAATTAACTAATCGGAACCAGATATCACCATTCTACGATATTAACATTGACGTAAAAAGAGGAGCGGGGCAAGGCGATACCATCTCGCCAAAATTATTTACCGCCACCCTCCAGAACGTCATGCGAACATCAGAATGGGATAATATGGAAGTGAAAATTGATGGTCGGCAGCTACACCATCTTGGCTTTGCTGATTACATCG